CAAACGAGTTCTTTGAAGTATGTTGATCTGAGTATTATATTTAAATTTTATGTTACATAATTTATTTATTCTAATGTCTGCGTTTATTATCGGCATTTTTTCTGTCTTTTTGTTGGTACTTTATGAAGATAAACATAACGTTTAGTTTTGTAAAGTATATACAATTTTAAGATTGCAGGTTTTCCCAATGTGCTTGGCTGCATTGATGGTACGTCAATCAAAGTACGAATTCCATCACATAAAATTAAATCAACCTATGTAAACATGATATTCCATCAATAACACTACAAGTTATATGTGATGCCCGTTAAAGATTTGTCGATGTCTTTACTGGTATTCCAGGGAAAATCCACGATTCACGTGTTCTGAAGTTGTCGGATATTAATGAAGAGTTACCAGGAATATGAACAAGGCAAATTTTTTATATTAGGAGATGCTGCATATTCCATAAGGGAGTGGTTAATGACTCCTTTTAAAGATTACGCTAATCTATCTGATAAGCAGCAAAAATTCAATAAACGGTTTTGTGCAACTCAAATATTGATCGAGAATGCGTTCGGGCTTTTAATAGGTCGTTTTTGACAACTAATCGAAGTAGATCTGCATACTGTGGATAAAATATCAAAATTTATTAAATCATGTTGCGTCTTGCATAACTTATGCATCGACAACGACAATGACTTTGATTTTAATATCGATATTGTCACAGAAAATAATGAAGATTATAATAATGAAGGTAGAGGAGAACGAGAAGCTATATTACAAAGATTAGGAAAAATAAAAAGAGATGAATTGATGAACGTACTTTTCCCGTAAAATAAAAACCAATACAGTATATATAAAATTATTAAACGTTTATTTATTTTGTGACAGTACGTACAACACCTTTTAATAAAAAATAGTATATAAAAACAAAGCGTATTTTTTTTATAAATGTACTTTTTAATATTTATATTATATACCTTATTTATTTTATAAATATGTAATTTTTTAACAAACACTTTTCCTTGCAATCCTCACAAAGTTTTATTGTAACTTAAAATTATATAATATCTATAAGTTCGCTTTATACTAGTTTGTACTTAAGACGTCTAAACATTACTACGTCAGTTTTTTGCAAAGAAAAGTATGCATTCAGTGCACTAATATTAAAAGAACAAACATAAAATTACACTGTGTAAGACACAATGTAGGCTACAAACCAGACCAGATAATTCTTATAGATTCTGTATAGATTTTTTGTCGTTGAATCTGCAAATAAAATTACTCTATTACATTGCAGTTTAAAGAAAATTAGATTTAAAGGTGCCAAAAATGGCATTTTTAAGTACTTTTGAGTCTAAATAGTTTAAAAATGTGATAAGACAGTTTTATTAACAAATTTATTTTCAGCGACAAAAAATTTATAAGAATTAGTAGTAGTAGTAGTAACATTTATTGCGTCCCAGCTAACCGGGTTTACAAGGCGTTTTTTCAAAGAAACGTACCCAAAACTTTCACAAAACTTTCACAAACGCTTTCCTTAATATGCTACTTATATCTAACTTAATACTAACTTAATTTATACTTAATTAATACTCGGGTCGATATCGTAACTATTTGTCACAAAATCCCATTTGCCACAAAGTTGGCACAATATATACACTGGTTGATAGAGCTGTTCTATTATCACATCCTTCTTTCCACCAAAAAAATCTCATTTTTTGCATACAAACATTTATCAACAATAACTATCCTATAGATTTTATCTTCAAAACTATTAACCACCGAATTCAAACTTTAATATCCACTAAACTAAACTTTCTTATACCTAATATACAAAATAACAACACAGACACAACTAAAAAATATTTTTTATTACCATTCACTCCTACGGCAACTAATTTTAACTTTAATTTGTCCAAATACAATAACCAACTATTTAGACTTTCATATAGAAATTTAAATCAGCTCACACAGTTCATCAGAACACACAAGGATAAAACATCAGCTTTACAACAAAAAAATGTGATATATAAGATCCCCTGCAGCTCATGTGACGTCAAATACATCGGTCAAACGAAACGTCAGCTCACCACTCGCTTAAAAGAACATAAAAACTGCGTCAAAACTTTTAACCAAAATTCAGTTCTTGTAGACCATTTTATTCAAACAGGACACACATTCAATTGGAACGAAGTAAACATCTTAGACATTGAACCTAATTATAACAAACGTCTAACATCAGAGATGTTACAGATTAAACTACATAAACATAGTTTGAATAGAATGACGGATACTGAATTACTTGACGATTTATATTTACCGCTCTTAAACAGATTTTCTAAATAAAGCTTTGATAAGAATACACTTTAATGTAAACATGTTTATCTCGCTGACTTTGTTCCGAGTCATAGTCTTGACAATGATTTCGAATTGTCTAAGTTCAATCCTTTCTTTTATTGTCAATNTGCGATGTGAATTGTTGCTAATGTAAGGTATTTGTAATTTTATAAAACAACACATTTATATCTTTTTATAATGTTATACTGTAGTCTATTGATTTGTTATGTAGTGCCCACTGAAGATGACTAAATACACAGTCGAAACGTTTGGGATATAATAGAGTTTAAAATAATTTTTTCTTTGCAAATCATCCTGCATCTCTGTTCAGTCACGCCTTCTCTACTATCAAATTTGGTTATTCCATACTGAACTTGGGGCCATTTCTCGTTAATCAAGTATTTAATTTAATTTACCCTGCAGGGATGGCAAGACCGCACGAATGTTCACACCATCTCCTCATCCCGATCCACACACACACATTCTCCCCCCTTCGGATTTCCGCTTCCTCTCGCCTTTTCTATATGTCTCACCTTTTCACCTCCTTACATCTCTCTCATTTATTCCTGACCATCCATACACTCTCTCTATCCACCGAATCTAACGCTGCCTTTAGGTCTACAAACAAGGCTACCAGTTTTCCTCCTTTTTTTCCTACCTGTCTGTTTGCTAGGTAGTTCATTGCATAGATGTTGTCTATTGTTCCCATACCTTTCCTGAATCCCGTCTGGTTGTGTAGAATTATCCCTTTTTCCTCCAAATCCTCCTGAACTCTTTCTGCCAGGACAGACACATACGTTTTGTATCTTGATGTCATCAAAGTAACCCTTCTGTAATCCTCCATATTCAGCCCCTCTCCTTTCTTTACTATGGGCACGATGATCCCTTCCTTCCAATCCTCCGGCCACTATTCTCCCTTCCACACCTGTTTCCATACTTTTTCCACCCAGCTTTCTATCCTCTCCCTTCCGTATTTCCAGGCTTCTCTCGGAATCCCGTTTATTCTACTCGCCTTTCCGTCTTTTAGTTTACTTATCGCCTTCTTTATCTCCTCTTTCTCAATGTCTTTCTCCTCTTCTTTTACCGATCCTCTTCCTCCTCTTCCTCTTACCACCTTCCCTTCCTCTCCTCTCAACAGTCTTTTAATATACTCCATCCATTCCTCCATCTCAATACTTTTGTTTACCTTCTTTCTTCCTCCTCTCTCCCTGTTCACTATCTCCCATACTTCATTCTCCCTTCTCGCTCTTCTGATTTTTTCTTCCCATCTCTCCTTTTCCTCCCTTTTTTTTTACTCTCACAGAGCTTTGTAAACTACCTTTTTCCTTTTCTATATTCCCTTTCCATTGCTCCATCTCTCCTCCACTCCTTCAGCAGTCTCCTTACCTTCCTTTTCTCCTCTTAGCATTCATTATCTCACCATCTTTTTTGCCCCTTTTCCCCCATTTTTTCCCCTTTCCTCTTCAACCTCTTTCAACGCCCCCCTCATTCCCCCCTTCATCCTGTTCAATTGCTTTTCCCAATCTCCTTCAAATTCCTCCAGCGTCCCCATCTTTTCCTTAAACATCACTCTCCCTTTCTCATCCCATATGCCCCTCCAAACCTTTCTTTCTTCTCTTTTCCCTGCTTTCCTATCCCCTCCTCCTCTTATCCAAACCTCTACCAGATGATGATCCGAGTCGATCCTACCTCTTATCCTCAACTTCTCAAACTTTCCTCTTGTCTTCTCCCCCCTATCACAAAATCTATTATTGTATTTCCCTTTCCTTCTGTAAACGTGTATTTCCCTTCTTTATCTCCTCTTATACATCTATTAAAAATACATCAACCGTACTCCTCTATTCAATCCAATAATTTTTTTCCTTCCACATTCACTGCCGTCCTTTGCTTTCCTTACTCTTCTCTCCCCTTCTTCCCCCTCAAATCCACCTCTCTCTGTCCCTACTCTTGCATTAAAATCCCCTCCAATTATCACTCTGCAGTCCTCCTCCCCCTTGTCCGTCCAATCCTCTATCTTTTCCCTCATCCTCTTTATTCCTTCATACACATAAAGTCCTACCACTCTCCATCTCTCCTTACTCACCCATATCTCCCCAATTATTGTCCCTTCTCTCCCTACCTCTATTTTGATCTCCTCTCCTCCTACCAGTTCCTCTCTCACCCCCATAATCATTCCTCCTTTTGCCCTACCTCTTCTTCCTTCTCTCCTTGCCCCCTGCACCTCCCATCTGTGGCCTCTTGGCAATCTGAACCTCATTTTTTCTCAGTCCTTTAACTCTAACCAAGTCTCGCAAAGCACCATAACATCTCATCTCTTCAAGCTATCCCACCATTCTCTATCCTTGTTTCCCACCCCTGCGACATTCCAAAACATTAGTTTCCACCCCTCTCCTTTCCTACTTTCCTTCTTCATTGCACCCTCTCCCTTCCCTATTCCCCGCCTCCCTCTTTCCTCCCTCTCCTTACCCTTCTTCTCCGTAACCTCCTTCTCCCCCTCTACCCTTCCACGCCTTCCCCCGTGCTCTCCTCTCTTACCACTCCTCTTCTATCAGTCAATACCTCTTCTTTCTTGTCCCATTTCCACCATTTTTTATCGATTTTTATCATTCCATATTCTATTTTCTTACCCTTTCCTTCCTTGCGATCTTTTCCAACTTCCATCTCATCTTCCTTTCTCTTCAGGTCCAATCCTCCATTATCCTTTCTCTATTTCCCTTCAGCTTGCTTTTCTTCCTCAATACCTCGCTCCTTTGTTCTTCACTCCTCAATCTCACCCACACTGTCTCCATTTTCCCTCCTCCTTTTCCCATCTTTCTTACCTNCTCCACCTCCACCTTTGCCCGTATCTTCTCTAAAATCTCCTCCACAGCTTCCCTCCTTTTCTCTCTTTTTATCTCAAGTCCCCTTATTAACAGGTTCTTCTTCCTCTCCCTCCTTTCCTTCCTTTCTAATCTCTTCTCTATCTCCTTCATTCTTTCTATCATCTTTCCTCCCCCACCCTCCTTTTCGCCTCTCTCCTCCTTCCCACCCTTCTTCCCTCTCTTTTCCACTCCTAACTCTAGCTCCCTCATCCTTCCTTCCAGCTCTCTGATGCTCTTTTCCAACCTCTCCTTCTCTTTACCCCATCTCTTCTCGCTCTCCTTCAAGTCCCTTCTCAACCCCTCTACCTCCACTTTCATACTTCTTCCCTGATCCTTTATCTCATCCTTTATCTCTTCCTTTAGCGCTCTGATCCCCTCCCTCATCTCTATCATAAACTCCCTCATCTCTTCCTTCCAATCTTTCCTCTCCAATCTTGCCGCACTTCTCTCACCTCTCTCCTTCCTTACCTCCGTCTCTGTATCCTTCTGTTTACTAGGCGATCTCTGCGTTTTTTTACTTGTAGCAAAAGCTCCCTCCTCCTCTCTCTCCTCCCCCTTTCCTTTCATATCCCTTTTCCTCTTTCTCAGTATGAAGTCCTCTATATTCCCTACGCTAGCACTTCTATTTCTATCTCCCTTCTTCTCCCTTTCAACCTTCCGGTCATTCTCCTGTCCTTCCCAGTTTTCTAAGACCATCACTTCCCGTCCCCTCGACCAATCACTTATCTCTCCTGCTATCTATGAGTGACCCTTAAATCCCTAGCCTCCCGACCCTAGTGACTTTTCTTCTAATCTCCTTTCCTCTCTATACTCCTTCTATTCTATGTCTAACTGTCACCGTCCCTCCGTACACCCTAATAAACCGTCCTCTACCCTAGGAATCCTATTTTTTCCAACCTCCCTTCACTCTCACCCGCTCTCCACACCCTCACCACTACCCTCCACAACGCCTTCACTTTCCTTTCCGTTTTACTCTCACACTTTTACTTTAAATTCACTCACACTCTCACACTGCTCCTACACCGTATTGCGCCGGAAGCGGAAGTCCAATTTATAAGAATTATTTGGTGTTATTTCTGGTCTAAAAAAAAGTAAGTACAAGTTTAAAAAAATGTTACAAACAAAAATTACATATCACTTCCAATGTTTCAGTCAACACGTAGGAACTTCCAATATTAATAATTTTTATCTTATTGTTTACTACCTTTGGTCCTTTCAATACTGATTATTTCTTGATTTTTAGTTCTGACTACTCTGTTTGTTTGGCGAATAACTCACATATTAGACGTAACTTTTTTTCGTGACGCCTTTCTTTTGCCGCTTCTTTCTTTTCCCAGTATTTCATCTTTTTATCGTTATTAATTTGTTTCGACTTTTTTGCATTCGACGGTGAGCTATCAGTAGAATGCGTGGAGACACTATCATTGCTATCAATTTCTTCCGACATTTGTGTATCTAATTTAAGGTATTTAACTCTCTTCGCACTTCGCAACACTTCGGGCTGAATACTATCATCCGAATGAGCAATTTAACGAAATTCTTTTTTAAATGATACTTCTTCTCTAGAACTGCCTGATTTAGAGTTGTTCTCAACTACTTTTTTTTCTTTTGAGGACAGTTTTATACCTATTTTTAATTTGGAGAGGAGTTTTTGATAAGTTTAACATGGTCATCATGTTTTTTGAAATTTGCGACCACATCAATTTTTTTGTTTTAACTTTCTTCAGAGGACCAATATCCGACAAATATGTATTGTACAGGGTGAGTCATCTGAATTTATCACCTCCAATAACTCGTTTGTGTAGCCAGGAATCGAAAAAAGGTTTATGTACAAGTTGTAGGGTTTCAAGGGGGAACCAAAATGGCGTACCATTCAACTTTTGATTTTGACCGAAAGTGGGTTACTTCAACCGAAAGTGGTTTTTTTTACAATGGAAACCCCTTTTTTTGACACTGGAAAATGAAAAAGCGGAAAATTTTACGTTCAGATATAACCTTGGCTGTTTTAAAATTTTCAAAATGGCGAACGAAGATGGCGGACAAAAATTTTAGTCAACCAATTTGCACCAAATTAAGTTTACGAGGGTTTGTGGGGTTGCTGATCACGAATCTGAAGTCAGATTTGCAAAATTCAAAATGGCGGATTTAAAATAACGGACCAAGATGGCGGACGAAATTTTTAGCCGACATTAATAGAAATTACTACTCTTAACATTACCCAGGAACAACGGTGTGGACGTGGTAGTTTTTTGTTCCCTTTGGGGTGCTTTATTTACGTGAGTCTCCTTGCCTCTCACTATCGGGGTGCTTTATTTACGTGAGTCCCCTTGCCTCTCACTATCGGGGTGCTTTATTTACGTGAGTACCCTTGCTTTTCACTATCGGGGTGTTTTATTTACGTGAGTCCCCTTGCCTCTCATTATCGGGGTGCTTTATTTACGTGAGTCCCCTTGCCTCTCATTATCGGGGTGCTTTATTTAGTTAATTTGAAACTTCAAACAGTTAAATCGCTAAGTAGTATACTTAGCGAATTAACTGTTCAAAATTTCGTCCATTCTCTTGGATGCATAGGTCGATACCATCATGATAATGATGTTAATGATAATCGTGTTATAACCCCACCAACTCCCGTGTACAAAATTTGGTGAAAATCGGTTGACTTTCAGACATTCATAGTTATGCGCGACTAGTTCGTATGTAGCTTTTCCGCTAGGTTGCTATGACTATGACTATCATCCTGCAATCATAAAGCAGACGTGAATGCTTAAATAGCAACGATATCTCCGCTTATGTATCTATTGAGAAATCAATACTTTTAGAACTCAGGTAATTTCTTATCTTTAATATGACAGCCTACCCACCAAACGAAATCGTGGACATGATCAAAATATTGGGGGAAGGTAGAAATAATTTTTTGAGAGCTGAACGTCTGTATGTGTGTGTGTGCTCAACGTTATCCTGATAGAAAGCATCCAACTAGGGTAACCATTAAAACCTTTACGCAGAGAGCAAGTGATGGGTCTATGGTTTGCCGATAACGACATCATGAATATGATGTTAATGATAATCGTGTTATAACCATTTTAGCGAAAATTATCTCGATCGTCATATTAGCACTTGTCAAATCGAAAGAGAAATTGGCATATTTCAGCGAACAGTTGCGAGAATATTAAAGGCGAGAAAATTTCATGCATATCACATAACGTTGACACAACACTTGAATTTTAATGATTACTTACTTCGTGTAAATTTTTGTGAATGGGCTCTGCAAATGATCCAACAAGATAAAAACTTTTTCCGGTACGTACTCTTTTCGGATGAGGCAACTTTCAGTAGCAATGGAACTGTAAATAGAAATAATTGTCACTACTGGTCCGATGTAAATCCTTATTGGGTTCGTTCACCTAATTTCCAAAATCGTTGGTCTTTAATGGTCTGGTGTGGCATTGTAAATGGCTATTTAATAGGTCCTTATTTTTTGAAGAAAACGTTAACGGACAAAACTTTTTGCAGTTTCTTCGATACGATTTACCGTACCTACTGGAAGACGTTTATTTATTCACCAGAGAACGGATGTGGCTTCAGTTGGATGGTGCGCCAGCACATTATTTAAATATTGTAAGAAATTATGTGAATAACCGATACAATGGTAGGTGGATTGGGAGATTGGGCGCAGTTGCATGGCCTCCTCGTTCGCCAGATTTCACTTCTCCCGATTTTTTCCTGTGGGGAATGCTGAAAAATATTGTTTATAGCAAAAAACCAACAACCAAGGAGAATATGAAGGAACGTATTCGGACTGCTTGTGCCGCAATATCTCAAGAAATTCTTTTGAGAACAGTCACATCATTCAGAAGGCGTATCGACCTATGCATTCAAGAAAATGGACGAAATTTTGAACAGGTAATTCGCTAAGTGTACTACTTAGCGAATTAACTGTTTGAAGTTACAAATTAACTAATTAAAGCACCCCGATAGTGAGAGGCAAGGGGACTCACGTAAATAAAGCACCTCAATAGTGAGACGCAAGGGGACTCACGGAAATAAAGCACCCCGATAGTGAGAAGCAAGGGGACTCACGTAAATAAAGCATCCCGAAAGTGAGAAGCAAGGGGACTCACGTAAATAAAGCACCCCGATAGTGAGAGGCAAGGGGACTCACGTAAATAAAGCACCCCGATAGTGAGAGGCAAGGGGACTCACGTAAATAAAGCACCCCAAAGAGAACAAAAAACTACCACGTCCACGCCGTTGTTCCTGGGTAGTGTTAAGAGTAGTAATTTCTATTAATTTCGGCTAAAAATTTTGTCCGCCATCTTGGTCCGCCATCTTAAATCCGCTATTTTAAATTTTGCAAATCTGATTTCAGATTCGTGATCAGCAATCCCAAAAACCTTCATAAACTTAATTTGGTGCAAATCGGTTAACTAAAATTTTTGTCCGCCATCTTCGTTTGCCATTTTGAAAATTTTTAAACAACCAAGGTTATATCTAAACGTAAAATTTTCCGCTTTTTCATTTTCCGGTGTCAAAAAGGGGGGTTTTTATTTTAAAAAAACCAATTCCGTTTGAAGTAACCCACTTTCGGTCAAAACCAAAAGTTGAAGGGTACGCCATTTTGGTTCCCCCTCAAACCCCCAAAACTTTTATATGAAACTTTTTTCGATTCCTGACCACACAAACGAGTTATTGGAGGTGATAGATTCAGATGTCTTACCCTGTATTTATCGAGAAGAAAGATTGTTGCTGAATTGCTCCAGTAATCTGTTGGATGTCGAGGAGTTTGGGTGGTTAGTAGATTAAGTTCTGTACTTGAACTTATTAAAATATCCTTTATTGCTCCTGATCTTTACAATGTTCCTTACACGGCTGTATCTAGCTGCGGTAAACTCTCCGGCTTGCGGAGCCACACAGTGAGCTAGCAGTCTATCACGGTCTCTGCTCTGCTTCATCCACGCGATCAATTTATAGTAGATCGATCGCGCTGATTCAGCATGCCCACCGGTCCTAGCAACGGTCGTGCTAGTTACCGGTGTTGGTGTCGACACATGCTGCGTTGCACTTTGGATAATGCGGCGATGTGTCGCACCCTGTGGCAACCAGCAGTTCTTTCTAGAACTGCTGCCTTCCTGCAACTTAACTAGGTCATTGAGCAATGGTAGTGTCTCATCACATTGCTCAATGGCCTAATCTTACTAAACTTCTTAAATACAAAAATTGGCGCACAACAAATCTAAAAATCATTATATTGTCTACTGATTAATACGATAGCTTAAATTATAGCACCGGTGAACCTATTAACAGATATTACAATAATGTAACAACCTTGTGAAGTAAAAGTTTAAAAAATCTTTTGTTCTATTTTTTATATTATTTTTTATATTTCTTTTATTTGTTAATAATATATTTGTTATATGTATTAAAACATAATTCTTTGTTTTGTATTGTATTAATTTTCTTATCAAAAAACGAATATTTTATAAATTCTTATAGTATAGTATACTGACATAGTGATATAAATAATCGTAATGCTTTATTAAAACATATTTACCAGTACTCTTTTGATTTTGATCGTCCTCCTGCGATTCTAATTCATTCTGATCATACATCTGTGATTCAAACATGGGTTTTAAAGCTTAATTTTCTTTCTTGTACCCCAATAGCTGATCTTGGTCGATGCGATTACAAAATAGGAT